ACAAGAAAAGGTCAGCCTTCAAATATTTTTTCTCTCTTCACAAAACCCGAGACAGCCACCTCTCTCTCTCTCTCTCTCTCTCTCTCTTTGCTGCGTTTTCTCCAAGAAACAAAGCCGCCAATTATTCCCCTCTGCCTTCGCTCTCTGCAGCCGCAAATAGAAGCCTCCCCCCTTTCGCACGCACTTCGAAACCCTAGGAACCGAATATATAGCTGCTTGTCTCAATCAATCGGGTGGGCCTTCATGCAACCGCTGGACAATCCCCTTTAAACCGCTGGTTTCCAAACTTCCTCCCACACCTTCATTCACGTGTTCACACTTGGAGTTCGTTCCAAACAAAACGTGGGTGGTCCCCACATGTCTTCACACACACGGTTTCACAATTCTCCACCTCGATGAAGTTTTCCCAAAACTGAGCCGACACCAACCAAACCAAATGTCTCACTTGTTGTGTCCAGTATACGGTGAAACAATTCACGATAACAGACTCAATCCATAACAAGTCGAGAACCCAAATGAGAATGCAAACACTCTCCAAATGTCAGTATCAACTCACCAAATCGATCTCACCCCCATCAAAATTCCAAACCGCTGCATCATAAAAGACTGCCTACGTATCCTCTTGCCCAAGGAATCAAGCCGAACGTAGTTCACTCAAATGGCCTCCAAAGGCCTCAATCCAATAGAAGAGTTCGCAACCCTTCTCCAATATCATCAACTCTGCGGCTGATAGCACCTCCAATGGCCTCAAACACCTCCACCTGAGGTGAACCAATGACCATATTCAAGCTACATCTATCAGCTATACTCAAATCAAAACCCAACTCATCATCTGCACCCAAATCCAAATGACTTCCACGCTGTGTCACCTCAGCTGGAATCCCAACCAATGCAGAATGACCTGGAGTATGTGGGAAAATCCCCACCCAATGTGGAGTAGCATCAATCTCCACCCGCTGCGATACCTCTAAGGTCTGTCCAAAACTCTCCACCTGCTGAGAGTCAAATAGCTCCCTCATCGAAGCCTCACCCAAAGTGACACTACCAGACCTATCTTCCAATGGAGTTTTACCTCCAATCATAGCAGTTGACAACTCTTTAATAGGATGACTCAAATATGTCGAAGCCTCTGTCCAGAAACTCTTCTGCAAACCATTGCTCGACCACAAACATCGATCCTCCTCCAGCAAGGCACGGTTCTCCAAATTTGCCACCCTATCTAGTTGCCCCAAGATTTCCTTTAGCTCGGCTCCAATGCAGAAACAGGTCCATCTTGTACCTCCCACCAGAATGGAGTACCTTCACCTTTCTGTCTATTACACACTTCTTCAATCTGTTAGAGACTACTAGGACTTTCTTCAATGGGGATTTGGTTGCAACCCAAACACGCCTAGAACAGCCACCAACAAAGGAAACCAAACTTCTATTACCTCCCAATGATGCCCCCTTGGAAGGCCCCCAAACATCCACGTGAACTCCTCCAGAACGACCCTTAGCACGGTGAATAGAGGTGCCAAACTTCACCTCGGTCTTCTTGCTCACATCAACATGTTCACTGGACTTCAAACTGCAGGTCTTTACACCCTCTTTCAATCTATGCGAGGAATCAATACTAGAATGGCCAAGCCCCAAATGCCGCAGTCTAGTCGAATCAACAGAAGTCGCCAGCTCTCCACCTGTCACTATACCTCCAGTCAAGTAATACAGGTTATTTCTCCTGACGCCCTTCATCAAAATACGAGAGTCTCTCGCAATCTCGAGAACCATGTCCTCAACACGAACCTTCAGACCCTCTCCAACCAAAGCTCCAATCGAGATCAAGTTCTTCCTCAAAGAAGGAACATATCTCACATCATTTAACTCCCTAACAGTCCCGTCAAACATCTTTATGCGAATTCTTCCTATCCCAAGGATCTGGCATGCACGGTTATCAGCCATGTACACCACACCACTATCCACCAGCTTCTCAAAACTGGAGAACCATTCCCTTCTAGGGCACACATGATAGGTCGCACCACTATCCAACATCCATTCAGATTCCTCCGAATAGCTATCTGTAGGACTGATAGAAAGCGAATAAATAGAAGAGTCAGAATTATTACCATCCGATACGATGTTTGCTTCTGATGATGGTTGCTTCCCTTTTCCCTTCTGCTTATTCTTCATCCATTCGTCGAGCTTTGGGCAGTCTTTCTTCCAATGACCAGTCTCCTTGCACCAAGCACACTGATCTTTTCCTACTCTAGACTGTGACTTCCAATTCTTTCGGTTTGGACCCTTCCCTCTTGCGACCAACGCCTCCGCTACCGGCTCAACCGAAGCCTCCTTATCCTTCTTTCGAAGCTGATAATTCACAAGTGCAGCGGTGACCTCACTATACGAAAGTGATGCCTTCCCATTAATCAGAGTAAGAACGAAGGTCTCATATTCCTCGTCGGGCAAGGAACTCAACAACAGCAACGCCTTGTCCTCATCTTCAATCTTGACATCCACATTCGCCAAATCCGCAAGAAGCTTTGTGTAGTGGTTCATGTGATCTCTAATGGAGGTTCCCTTCTTCAACTGGAAACGATAAAGTCTCCTCTTCAAATGCAAGCGATTTTCCACACTCTTGGTCAAATACTTGCTTTCGAGAATCTCCCAAATCTTCTTCGCAGAAGTCTCATTCATCACATCATATTTTAGATCTTGAGTCAAACAAGACCTAATCACACCACACGCCGTTCGATTCATCTTCTTCCAAACCTTCTCTTCAATCTCATCTGGCTTGCCATCTAACTCCAATGTATCCTCCAAATTCTGCGCGTTCAGCGCATCCAAAACAACAATCAATTTTTACGTGGTTCGATAAACTGCCTACGTCCACGGGACAAGGAGGGGGGATCTACTATTATAGAGAAAAAGAATACAATGGGTTTACAACTCTCACAATCTAAACCCTCAAATAGGCTCCTTGCTTTTCTTCACAAGAAAAGGTCAGCCTTCAAATATTTTTTCTCTCTTCACAAAACCCGAGACAGCCACCTCTCTCTCTCTCTCTCTCTCTCTCTCTTTGCTGCGTTTTCTCCAAGAAACAAAGCCGCCAATTATTCCCCTCTGCCTTCGCTCTCTGCAGCCGCAAATAGAAGCCTCCCCCTTTCGCACGCACTTCGAAACCCTAGGAACCGAATATATAGCTGCTTGTCTCAATCAATCGGGTGGGCCTTCATGCAACCGCTGGACAATCCCCTTTAAACCGCTGGTTTCCAAACTTCCTCCCACACCTTCATTCACGTGTTCACACTTGGAGTTCGTTCCAAACAAAACGTGGGTGGTCCCCACATGTCTTCACACACATGAATGTTAACTTCAAAACTGCAATACTAAGAGGGGGGGGGTCTACGTGCAATTAACCCGACCTTACAGCCGAGCCCACTGATCAAGCACATTTGTTTCGACCAAGTATGCAAATTTCAAATGCCAGAGAAAAGATAACAGTTACCAATTTCAAATGCCAGACTGCGTAGTGCTGAGCAACCAGGGACTCCAGTGAGCCAAACAACAACAGGGTCCTCTATCGGGTTGCTCTGACTGTATAAAGTAATAGAACAGCTCCACATCATTCACACCATCAACATTTATGTACCTGTAAATTTTTAATGACAGCACTAAAAATTAGTTGAAAGCAAATAAATGTTTAAATGAAAGCAACGAGACAAACTAAACATTGACCCAGTTTCAAGATGAAAAGGAAGAGGTCCACTGAAGTCAGAAGATGAGTTTATGGTCACTGCAGAGGGAACAGAATGTGATAGGAGGAGGAAGAATAAAAGGAGAAAGACATCGCTGGTGATCTGGGAGGGAGATAACTATTGTTGATTAATACCTTTCATCATTAATGTGACGTCTGAGTATACATAAAATATTACGTTGCAAGCATCAAGTCAGATAAAATTCTCCATGACCTTGCTTGTTTCGTTGCATTCCAAACATCTTGACTGAAGTGCTATATTAATAGAATACTTCATGGGTTATCACCGCACATAGACACCTATAGTACCACATGCTAGAACTTGTTACCGTTGTAGTTTAATTTCGGAAGAAAGGCTCCTTGGATGAATTTTTTGAAACTCTTTCACTTAATTCATTTCACCCCAAGAGTAATAACTACCAAAATTTCACCCAGGGTAAAAGAGTGAGAACCAACAACTTGGATTCAAGTACCATCATGACTCCTAGTCATGCAAGGTAGTACTACATAATCAAGTAAGACAGTCAGTATGGTAAGAGTATCTAACTAAATATAAGGTCTTGAGCTAGACTTCAGCTAAAACTAGAAAAGTTTAGTGTAGAAATACCTTATAAGCCAACCAAAAATTTCTACTGCATTTGCTGTAGCTAACGAGATATACAGGTGCCACCTCCGCCAAACTAATTTTCATTTCTCATTTGGCGAAACATCCTTTATAACGCCCCAGACCTAGTTTGTTGAACCCCGTATTCGCTTCAGCCACAGAGATATTTCTGGTTTGTACACATTAACTTGTAATGAGTCTGACATTAAATAAATTGACAAAGAATATGTACACATTCCTGTAGACTCTTGTAATTATGGTATCGCAATGTCATATAATGAAAGAAAAAGAAATTCACCTAATCACTTTCATCTATTATACTGCTACTCACAAGTAGAATTCACTCAAGTAAATAATGACGGCATATAAACTACCGTCTTATCATTTTTCACGGGGCAAAAAAACTTGACAGATAAGATCAAGAAAGGATACCTGCGGCATAGTGTCCCGTTTCTCGATGAACATCAGTGGTATCATGTACAAAAATAGAAAACTCCACCATCACCTGTTCTTATCTGTCGCTGATCTGCAGAGCCAGCATTCTGGAATAGTAGATTTAGTCCCGTACTCAATCCTTCCTCAGGAAGTCCTCCTCAGTGTAAGCATTTTTCAGTTCTTATATAAGATCAAAAGGAGACGCCATTGTAACAATGACAAACTTTACAATTTTTTTTTCCTAATTAACCTAAACAATCAATTCAGCTTAACGGGTCACAGCTTTACAGTTTTACTCATCAAACTTTTACCTAAACAGTCAGTTCAATTAAATTGGGCAACTTTACAAAATGTGGCCACACAAAACCCGCCCTGCAGGCTTACAACAGAGAACACAAGGGGGAAAAACAGAAAAGGGGGAAGAATAATTACATTTTCTTTGGGAAATAAATATACATTGCTAGAAGAAAATACACAGGAAGATGGAACAAATAAATGGCTCGAATTACAAAACAGTGTTGATGTGAAGTGCTTTGAGTAGGGCAGTTGCCATTTGTTTCACCAAGACTTGACCTCCAGAACGCTGCCCATCTCTTCGTTCTTCAATCAAGTTCTGGAGTTTATGTGGGAGGTCATTCTCTACTATGAGCTGCTTTGGTCGAGGATGATGCTCGTAGACAGCCTGCAGTAGAATAATATCAGTAATTAGATAAAATAGAATAAAACAACTGAACAAGAAAAAACAGATTTCCATTTGCACCCATGCAAAAAACGCAAAACTATAATCCACAAAGAAAACAGTCGACTCACCCTTATTAGTTTCAGCAGATTAAGTCGTGCAATAGCATCTTGATGGTCGAGCCTTGCAATGAGCAAAGTAGTTAGACCATTGACAGCCATGGCAGTATTTATTCGGGATGATTTCCTGAAATTTACACATGAAAACAGTCACAATAACCAAAAAAAAAATGGAAATAGAAAAGGAGAGTAAAATATAGATTGTACGTTATTATCTTCAAGAAAGGCTCCAATATGTTGACAAAATATTGTTCAGGGCAGCACTGGAAGAACTTGACTAATTTCTGAATGGCTTCCTTCTTAAGCAATGCTTGCTCCACTTTCCTGTGATCATTATCATGAGCCAAACATACTGCAAGAGAATCTAATGCAGTCCCAGCCCAGGCTTCATCCTCCAAGAGATTCAGGTACACATCTAGTCCTCCATGAGCCCTTAATTGCTCCCTGGAATTACGAGAAGCATGGGCCATATCACAAAGTAAAGGCAATGCATACTGCTTTAAAGGTGAATCTGACATGATGAAATTCATCAAGTGTGGTATAATTCCATTCTCAGCTGCTTGTTCTTGTCTGCGCTTGTTGATCTTGCAAAGGTTGAAAAGCGCATTGAGGACCTAAAACAACAAAAAAACCAGAGGTAAGTTATCCGCCCAGACTTTGCACTAAAAGGAACAAGGTAACTATAGGATAAAACGAATACTGCTGTCTACTCAATCTTATATGCCTTTTTCCATTTTTATGCAATTAAAGAAAATTAAAAGATGGTAACAAAAACTAGAATAGTTGGACCAAATTAATATGTGAAAAACTGTACTGGTTCTTCATGACCAACGTAAATTTAATATTAGCCTGTGAAAGGAACCTTTCTACTGATTCAGCTGCCAATTACAAAATGACTTCGGTTCCATGGATATAAAGTTGCATCATTCACTTTGCGACGCTTTCATATATGGATGAAAGATTTACCCGAGGCATGACTGTCACTATAGTTATCTAATACATACTGACATGCATTGTATGGATGTATGCGTAGGGTGTATGTGCATTTATGTCTGTAAACAGGTAAAGCTAATCTCACCCCTGAGCACCATTCATTGTCCTCTCTTATGCATGTTCTATAAGTTTACGGAAATAATTAATCAATTTTCTATATTTCTTCATAGAAGGTAATTTGAGCCGACTCTGGAATTAATTTACGATACTCTTGAGGATCTTTTCATGAACTACTTGTATCTGATTATTGTCTAATATGTGAAGGCATCCCAGATTTATTTATCTATAGGGTTCATATCATAATCACATTGCATTTCAAGATAGATCATCCATTCTCTAATAAACTTCTTACCTAAGCTCAGACAAGAAGGTTAAAAGACTCTAGAAACCAATTTGGTCCAACAATAAAATGTTTCTAAACACTTATTACCGTATTCTCTGTCACAAATTCGCATTAAAATTTTGGAACTATGTGAGCTATGTCTGAGAGTGACAAATTTTGGTCCATCATTCGCTAAAAAGTGTCTATATATTACTGTATTCTCTTTCACAAATTCGCATTAAAATTTTTGAACTATGTGAGCTATGTCTGAGAGTGACAAATTTTGGTCCATCATTCGCAATAAAGTATGTAAACAAGAGTGACAAATTTTGGTCCCCGTCACTTCACTATAAAAGTGTATGCACAAGAGTTGTTTCCACCTTTGTTGCACGGGGACTGGAAGAAAAAGGTACTTGTGATTTATATTTATATTAAATACTCATATCGAATAGTTGTAACTTGGTGATACTTGGAAGGTACTCCTTGTTTTTGTTTTTTATAGAAAACATTGATATTCTAAATCATATTTATTAATGATTAATAAATTAATAATCTATGAACTAACAATGGGGATCACTAATTTAGCTTCCAGGGGTGAGATAAAACAATGCAAGACTATGAAGTGAAAAATAAGTGAAAACTGTAGTTCAATTGTCTCATTTAATTATCGTACATATATCGATAAATTTAAGAAATAAATGAAACTTACAGAAACAGATGATGAACTGGAGGAAACAAATTTAGCATAGAATTCAATTATTTCAAAATTCTGAAACATTAATCGGCAGAGAAAAGGGCACTCACTTCATTATGTATTTGAGATACAAGTGCACCATCATGAAGCTCAAGATTTGGAATCAAATGTTTAATTGCATCCGCGCGCTGTAGATTTTCTAAACAATTTGGGTCGGTTGACAAATGATTGATACATTTAAGAATCTACATTTATAAACAGAGAATAGGAGCCAGAAGTTAGAATGAGTATGATAAACAGGAGAAAAGAATTAATGTATTCACTGCCTTGACAATAAGAAGTGTACCTTAAGAAGAATCGGAGGCTCTATCCTATTGAACATTTGGAAAAGACGACCAAGCAAGCTTTGGCTGCACATGTACGACTTCACAATAGTGTCTGCTTGGGCAAACACTAGTAACAGATCTGCCACTTTTTCAAGATATTCCCTCGCCACATCAGCACTGACTGATGAAACCATTTGAGAAAGCAATCCAGAGGATGTTGTGCTCCCTGATCTTGCATTTAGAACTCCGGACCCTGATAGAACCCCAGAAGCTGTCAGAGATGCAACTCCGGATGTTGAAGCTCCTTCATTAGAAGTTGCTGAACTAATAGGCCCTGTTATTTTTTTACTTGGTTTCCTTGAAAGCTTGGTATTAGAATCTAAACCTCCAATTTCTCGTCCATGTCTTGAAACCTCTGCAAAATATTAAAGAATTATTCTCTAATGCTGCAAAATAATGGATCTCACAATATGTGATATAGCCTAAACAGCTAAATAATACTGAAGTATAAACTCGTAAGTTTTTACAACTCTCAGCCAAAGAAAAGAACCTAAGAAACTGAATATAAATAAGATACATTTCACAAAACTTCCAAGGACTTCGGCTGTTATTAAAAAAGCCCCCTGCCTTTGTTTATTCCACTAAATCCCCAAAATTTTTCCCAAGAACCCCTCAAGCTAACACTGTCAGATTTAACCCATGCACTAGCCAAGCACGTAACTTCAATTGACCAAAATATCCCCAGTGAAAAGGTCCCCTATATGTCCTTATTTTTATATTTTGGTCAAAAAATACCCTTTCCCACGAATTGCCCAGCTTCTTCCTGGTGCTCAGGTCAGGTGAAGGTTGGAGCTCCCAGTCCTTGGTTTTGCTTTTCCTGTTTAAAAATTGCAAATCTCATCCATTCTCTACTAAATCTTTGCTTCTAATGTTAGGAAATTATGAAATTTTAGGTTTTTCAAAATGGTTTAATCATCCAAACTCATTCAATTGAACAGATTGTTTTTTGCTACTAACAGAATATTGGGGGTTTTCATTGAGGGTATTTATGTAATTAAACGTCAAATAGTAATGTAGTTGGGAGTTTTATTGGTAAAAGTTAAAGTTTTAGGGGCCTTATTTGAGACAGCCCAAAGTTCGAGGGATTAGACTAGTGAGAAGATTTTGGGGTTTAGTGGAATAAACAAAGTTTCCAGAGGGTTATGTGGGAAACGCCCAAAGTTTTGGGAGCGATTCTGATATTTATCCTATAAAAAGATGTCAAAAATCCATCTAGAGTGGAATAAACAAAGTTTTCAGAGGATTCTGTGAGAAATGCCCAAAGTTTTGGGGGCTTTTCTGAAATTTATCTATAAAAAGATGTCCAAAATCCATCTAAAACGGCCCCTTGACACTTTTAGATATCACGCCCGATAATATAAAGGGTTTAGAACCTAGGCAAGGCAAATATAAGATTTGCCACATGGTAATTTGTAACATAACCAGGCACCACAGCTTACTAAACAAGCCTTTATGACCATAGTTGTCCACACAACGCGCCAAAGATTTTCACTTAGATTAAATTGCAAGGGTTCACTTAGATTAAATTGCAAGGGTTCACTTAGATTAAATTGCAAGGGTGGCTTCTGCTTATTGACTGTTTATCAATAGACAAGTTTAATTTGTATCACCTAGGATGCACAGAAAAAAGAGAAAATGATAAGAAGGAACAAATCAGGGTGATAACATCAGACAGTTATATGGACAATGTGGGCAAAATAACAGCCAGTTCTTTCTCTTCTCCCTAATTGCACTCTATTCTTCTTTCCTCTCATCAAAGGCCACTAGAATACCGACGACCTAGACAACCATCGGCATGACAGGAAAAGGTTCTGCTTATTTTTATTTTTGGTATTTTATGTTACATGCTCTTATCTTCTTCTGTTTATATCTGAAATTTCACAATTTTGTTGATGCTTAACTGATTAAGTCATTCAAGCAAGTATGTTTCATCTACGACTCAGGCGAAACAGGACCTCGCGGCCTAGGCTTCACCTTTAGCCTTCATTACTCTCACCACTCCTCAATAAGTATAAGAGTATAGGTCATCCACAACACCAGGCTAAAACACCAGGCTAAGTATAGAAGAAACAAAGATTCTATTACACATGCCGGCATTGTGTAAACATAAGTTATAACTAAGTCAAAAACTAGAAAATCATATAGTTCTGTATACAACGACAATGATGCCTAGTTAGTAAGAAAAATCGAAGATAAATGATAACAGAAGTAAAGAAATATTGCAGAAAAATGATAATGGAACTCAAAGCATGAATGACATTTCAGCGCAGATAACAGACCACCAGCTCAAGCTAACACTTGCAGTATCTAGTGGCCTTAAAGTTAGGTGATTACCAGGCTAAAGAGGACTCAATTGCTATATAAAGAGGAGGAATTCAAGGAACAAATTTATAAGTCACAAACCTGTGTTCTTTTTCTAGCCTACTGCATAATATCCTTCTCATCTAGACTCCAAGTGAACCACCGCAGTTCATTCATGTGCTCCTACAAATGCCATCTCCTTTCTTTAGCAGTGAATCTAAATTCCCAGCTAAGTGCATACATTTTATGAATGAAAACCTGATAAATTATACTACTCCATTGATCTTCACAAGTCCATCCAAAGAATCCATGTAATTGACTCCAATTTCGCAGTCTGATACCAGTTGACCTCCAAATTAAAGGGGAAACCATCCCTTCCTTTATCCTCCAACCAAATAGAAACCCAATCTAGGGAAGATTTTCCCCTCGCCTCAAATTCGAACTCATGAACTCCAAAGGAACCCCAACCTACCGATGTTATTGTTATAAAAGTTGACTTGTGTACACGTTCACACACAAAGAATTTCTAATTTGTCCTATATAAATCAAGAAACACACTATAATAAAGACAGATAGGGAAAAGAGAAAATGAAAGAACCAAGAAGTACGAGAGTTTTCATAATGCCTAATCATACACCATGACAAAATATGTATGTCGGAAGCACCTAAATATGAATATAAGGTCTTGATTAATCTTACCGCAGAACTGAAAAGAGAATAAAGTACAGAATACAAAGTAATAGTATCTGCATAGATTAACTCATAGGATACACTTAATATTCAATGCATAAGGTTCAGATGAAAGAAACACTGTTCTACGGGACCTGCTGTGCAAAGCCATGAACAATATGCAACTAATGACACTGCTTGAAGTGATTGAAAAGGACAGCCTACAAATGTTGTTATTATTGTTCCATTTTGTTGGGAGCTAATTAGATATACTCAACATTCTATGATAACTGGGGTGCTCCCAGATCATTGCAGACTAGGTGGAGTCTGTAACTTCAATATGAAAGGATAAGATCTATAAATAAAAGGATTCTCAGTGTGTGTTGCAGCTTGAAAAGAGTTTTTCCTTATTGGTGAAGCAATATTTTTTCTAGTTCCCCGACAAATGACCAAATATACCAGTCAAAAAAAGGACAAAAAGAAATTTCCATGCGAAACATGCATTGGCCCCGTTGATGTGTCCATTTCAGCACTAAATATTTTGGTTAGAAATTCTAACCATAATCTCAATCTATTAATCCAAGTCCTGAACATCAAAAAATAATAATAAACCTAAACCTTTAATCTTAATGTTGATTTTAGTGTCTGAGACTCTGAACACAAACTCCAAAAACAGGTACAATAAACGTAATAAAAGTACATATAGGATCAATGAATATCTTAAATGTCCTTGGGGCACGAAGTTAAGAAAACCTGAAGAGATGACAAGTTAAGGCCAAACATGTTACCCTTCAAATTTATGGCATCAGAAAATATTTAATGTGACAGCATACTTAATTAGCGCGTGAAATAAAGTACCACAATGCAGGATGGCATCAAAATAACAATTAAAGGCTTATGCATTGTTTGACAACAGATTAAGATGAGGGCTATAAACAACTTTTTATGTGATCAGAAAAATTACCTCTAAATTCATCAATGGAGAAGAATATATCAGACTTTCTAGAGGGGCACACCATTTTACCCTTCTGAAAGGGGGTCGTCTAAATCCTCCCATCAATTTTTTTGTTAGTCGGGTTAAGGAAGGGTTAATCCTCCTAAAATGTGCTATTTTTTATCAGGTTAAGGTGAGAAGAAAACCATGTAGTTCATGTTCAACCTTTTTCTAAAGAAGACCTTAATGTAGCCTCATCAACCTTTACAAGGGTCATGTTGTCTTGCCAGTTATATAGCGAAATCAGGCATGCCAGGGAAAAAATCTATGAGGCAATATTATGCATACAAAAATGAATCCAATGCCAAATAGTTCTCAAAGCATCATATGCTCTCGATAATTACTTGTCGACAAGTGATGTGCTGTCATCTACCTAAAGAAGCTCATAATCTATAATTCCCAAGTTTTCTAAAATATCAAAATTCTTCTCATTCATATATACTTTATATGTATGCATATACATACGCATATACACATATAAACATATATCGTTAAGCTAGGCTGCTATTAATAGTATCCAAGATGAGGATGATATCAATTCATTTCTACGGTTTGAATTTCTAAATTGAAAATCCGTGTGGGCTGCTGTAACACACATGGACCAAGCAAAAATAAAATTATAAAGGGCTTGTGTTTACTCATGTATCAAGGGATCATGGGCCAAAAGATTAAGCTACTTTATGAAATTTCTGAAATGTCAATTTTCATGGCATAAGATACACTGTAAGACAATGAAATTCGTTGCAATTGTACTTCAATGTAGTTGATGTAGAACACATCTCACTGTAAAGATTTTCAATATGGAAATCCAAATTTTAGAAATGAATTGACAGTATCCATATGTTGGATACTCTACGCGCGCGCGCGCACACACACACACATATATATATAAATATAAATATAAATAAATAAATATATATATATATGTAAAGGTACATGTTCGCCCATTGATATTAATGATCCACACCGTTCATTGAGATCTATGCATCCAAAACTGCATGCAAAAATCTTCATAAATTCAATATTTATAGTTTATACATTTAATGACCCAGAAATGAACAGTCTGTAATGGTCTCACATGTCGGTTACTTTGAGTTGCTTGAACTATAGAAAAGTCCAAGCCACGTGATCTTTGATCCACTTAGATTTAATGACATGTACTTAACAATAAAAACAGTTAAGATTTTCAATATAGATAGGCAAAGATGTATTTTTCAAAGTGTGTGTAACTAAGTTACACCTTGCGTGTATCGTAACCCTACCCGATATGTACACACATGCACATATACATAAATACATACAGAGAGAGAAACATAGGAAACAGAATTTCAGATTGCACTCTGTCCACGTCCATGTGTATATTGT